CCAGAATTTCAATATTATATCCAGTTTAGTCACGAGATTACTGCGCCTAATTTGACAATCCTTCTTTGCCCGTGACATTGGCAATGCTGCATGCCAAAATTTAGGCAGAAATTATGCCGTAATACTTAAGGCTGTGTTACATAAATTACAGTTATGTAAGTTTCAGAAAATTAAATTTCATGTAATTTTTCACACGCCATGAATGAAGCATTATTGTATTTTTTGATTTGAATGTACGATCCCGAATTGTAACTCCTAAAACGTCGAAAATTTGATCTCAGAAACTAAATGTCATGTATTCAAAATTACAAATACATGAAATTTAATTACGTAAAATTACGTAAAATTACTGAAATTTAACAACCCTAGTAATACTTTCAATGGCATGTATATTCCAGCCTGCATTATATTAGCTGGCCAGAATTATAAAAATTAGTGAATTTTCTGCACTATTATCTACCTAGGCAAGGATGTGAGCCGGATTTATTTCTGATACGTTAAATTTAAGTTGAACTGATTTAATCATGTGAAATTTATCCCTAGGAATAGTTTATAATGTGCGGGATAATTTTTATACGTAAGCGGAAGTATATACTGGATAATTACGTTTCATGTATTAACAGGTTTACAAGTATATATTGTTAGTACATAGCAATTAACCACACTTACTTGTACTAAAGGGAGTTAATACATTATAATTTATGTATTTCCGGTACGTATATGTCGATTGTATGCAATAATAGGTTATAATGGTTTACTTTATTGAATATTCTTTTCAATATATACAATTAACCCACGTTTATATATTTAAAGTTCGGCTTTTGTCTTATTCTAGATTTCCCCATTTAGTGTTATTAACTTTAGAGCTTTGTAACTCTTGTTTAAAGTTTGTACGTAATCATTGAACAATTATAACTTTTGTTAAGAGTCTATTACCTATTCATGCTGACCAAACATTATTGTTAAATAAATTTACAACAATATGTTAAGAGAAATTTATAAAATATATCTTAATGTTTCTCGTGTACAGTCGACTCTGACTATAACGAACCTCCATATAACGGATTCTGGATATAACGAACTCAAACATTTCAAATTTCATATTAGTTCGGTATAAAAAGTGCCATTGGTTCTTAAGAAAACATAATAATTTTCTATAACGAACTTTTTTTTTCTTCCAGAACCGTTAGTTCGTTATAGAAACCGAATTGCGGTATTTCCATATTGCAAGATAATTTTACTGTCAATTACAATCATTTCTATTGCTATGTAGAGTCATATCTTTCTATAATCATTGAGTACATACTATCTTATTTACGTACCGATTTCTCATATTATTCCATTTATCGCAGTTTCCTTATTCCCTAATTCCTTGTTTTCGATACACCTTACTTAGTTTCACCATAAAATTCATGTGTATGTTTGTGCATGTGCTATGTAGATATAAACCTATATATATATATATCAATAAGCGAAAATGGAGAAATTAAATTTGATAAATGACAGCTAACTCTTAAAACAGGTCTTTGGCTCGGGAAATAGATCTTATTATTAAGAGTTAATTCATTGTGATCTAAATAACAAAGACTATGTTCATATAAACAATCAAATAAACAAAGACGACGCCACCTTTGTAAAATGAATACACCACATTTAAAACTCTTCAATTTAATAATGCGCTATTGACAGCCTTCTCCACAAAATTAGTTACAATACCCCTAAATTATTTGAAGATTGTAGTTACAAAACAAGAATTTCATGAAAGAGAATAATAAAGATGGCTTCGTTCAACCGTTTTATTGATTATATGTATGAAATCATTTGAATAATTTAAATTTTTAGGTTCATCCAATCCTAAACTATCTTTTAATCCCTTATTCAGGGTATTTTTTTACCACGTACATACCGATACATAAAATGTCGTACATAAGCCGTGAGAAACTTGTGCGAAATTGTCTTATCTTCAAAAAGTACTGTATATTATAAACACCTGCACCGTTTTTGTAGATTATGCAGTTTTATTTAAAAAATATTAAGTTCTTCGGCAATTACTCATTATGGTTAATACAATTATTAAATTGATTAAAGTTTAATTTTCGTCATTATTTTAAAGAAAGAAATCTTTACTATATTCCACAATACTATACATATTTCTTAAATTAAAAATCTTTAATTTTACCTTAATTAGTTATTTCAATTTTTATTTTCTTATTTATTTTTACGTAATTTTAGAATAAAACTATTTAAAACAGTATTTTTAATTTTAGGGATTCATTTAAGCTCCTGATTTCTGCTATTGAATTTTCCGTAATGGGCTAAGAAAGATGTGCACAATAAAACGGCCTATTTATACATATTAATATAAACAATTTTGAGTAAATCGAATTTCTATAAAATTTTCTAAATTAAGTTCGTTTTGTAACTTTTCTATTGTATAATTACTTATTATAAATTTTTTTTAAATATATGTCTATTCAAAAATCAAATAAAAACATTTTTTTAAAAGTTGTACGCAAAAAAAGGATTTCATTCATTAGTTCCAAAATGATCTGGACTTTGCAAATCAATTGATTTAAAATAGTATTATACTGCAAGAGATCCAACAGAATCTCGGAATATTAATATTTATACCGAGAAAAAACGTATTTAATCAGCGTGAGTATTTTCTACAGGGACATTTAAGTTCTTAAAAAACGTATGTACTTAAGCACTTAACGCTTTTAATATTCGTATTTTAATTGAATAAAACTAACATACGTTTAACAATGAAAAGGTTTAGAACTATTGGCATTCATTTATATTATTTTCTTCAGAGAACTGCAAACATATCTCTTTTAAGGTACCTATTTATTTCACTTATTACGTAGAAATCATAGAAATGTCACTATCACATAATGATAAACAGATGGACTACTGTAGCGTAATTCTTTGTAATTCAAACCAGCTAGCATAATTCTGGCCAACTTACAATTTACTGGCTTGAATGAAATAATGCTTGCAGGCAACGCAGTAGATTCAAAGAAAAAATCCTCAATTGCCATTCTCAGATTAGGGTAGAAGGTAGAGGATTGGCAAAATTTCTTAATTTGTTTAACATAACGAAAATAGAAGCGTCACAATCATTACGTATTGATTGTGTATGATCGCATGATCATTAGGCTAATTTTTCGGACTGTTCCGTATCACAATCCGTGATTCCGAATAGCTGATCTACGCACGCAATTATCGTTATTACATGATAGTGACATCATATGACATCATATGACAATCCGCAGAAAACCATGATTGGCATTCACGTGACCATGAAAGGTGTGATCTCAAAAATTAATACGTAACGTGCGACATAATCACACCCCATGCAAATGTGGTGAATATCACGTGATTGCAGGTTTTTGTTTTGCAAACGGCATCAGGGTGTAGTCCAAATTTCCTGGATATTGGTCAGAATTATTTATCTATTAGCATTAGAATTATGGTGTTTTTTATTAGATTTAAGAGTGATTTATATGTTATCTGCATAATTTTGCATTACGCTGACCATTTCCAGAAAATCTATACTACATCTGACAACTTATCTCAATTTTGACGATGCTCACCTTATGTTATTTTTCACAGTATAACAGATCCACTTTAAGATGGATAAGATGGAACGTTCAGTATATCTTAAAAATATTTTTTCAGATGAAAAAATAATTGCTGAAACATTTAAATACATTGAGTTTCCTCTCAATTTCTTATTGGCATGCAAAAAACACCATGAGATTTCTAAAAAGAGCGATGTTAAAGCTGCATGGGTCATTTCTAAATACGGAAGGGCGCATGCTTTTTTTCACTCTATCCGCCTAGGTCCTGGTTTTCTTGATGTTCAAACAGCTCAAGAAATTATCGCGAAAAATGGTGTATTATCAAGATATTTTATACAAAGAGTATTAATGCACTTTGGTAGTTATGATCAACGTCTTTTTGAATTAAAAATAGTTCATAATGTTGGTCCAATTGAAGTTGAACGTATCAGATCATATCAGCAAAAAGTCCGACCTCCGTGGGCAAGCGATTTACAATTATCGGTTCTTACCTATTTATTAACTGAAGGGACAAATCAATTAGGTTCTGAACTTTGCACAAAAGGAAATGACATGGAATTGTTTCATTTTTTGACTGGAGGCCCACATACGATAGATCAGGCTTACGAAATTTTACATAAAAATATGTCTTCAATTGAAGATTTAATCCGTGTCATGAAGTTTATTCCATTTCCTCCTCGACCAAAATCTAAACAAATAGATGGATTTTCTAATAATATTCAGACAAATTCACCTGAAAGATACCCACCAAAAGATGGATATGAGAATAATAGACAACTTAATGTCATCGCGCGTGCTATTTTAATTTCAAAAGACCTAGTAAAACTTTGGAAAGAAATAGGATATTATGAAATTTGCGATGATGTAAATGATCTTGTTATGCAGGGAGGCCTTCTTATTCTCTTCCCTCCAAATCCTTCTGTAAAATGGGTTCAACCAGATATTCATATTGTAAGTAAGCGACTCAAGGAACTAGTGGATCTTGGCTTTAAATTAAGTTATTCAGTTATTGTGGACATTTTCCTACTTTTTGAGAAACGTCTCAAAAACATTGGAGAAATTTTAGTGGAATCTTTTACAATTATTAAGGAAGAATCAAGTATCAAAGAAAAATCTCGAACCATATTTTTGGAAAAATGTTTAATAGAGTTGCTAAGGACTTCACGAAACTTAAACGATCCAGACATATTGGATTTCTTATATAAGTGCCTGCATTATCCTGAAACTGCATTTAACAAAGCATTAGATTATTACATGAATAAGGCCAACGAATCCGATAACATAACTTTAACTGTAAAATCGTTAACTTTTTCACCAAAGTTTTATTATTTCATATTAATGAAATTTAGTCCTGATTCAAAGTTAATGAAAAGGTGTTTCGAGGAAATTCTTGACACATTCATCAATTTAGATATACAAATACAACAAAATCCTGATAACGAAATTTATCAATATTTATTTAAAGTAACATCTGATATATTTTTTGCTTATTGCAATGTCAATAACTTTTTCCTCCCTTCACATTTAGATAAAATATCCAAATGTACAAATAAGGATATTCTATGCATAGTATTTGAACATTATTTACCCCTTTTATTTGGTATAGAGATAACTCAAATGTTATTACCATTACCAACCACAGAAGAATTTTATATACAGTATACACCAAATTCCAATACTAAGCGAAAAAACACTAAACAATTATTGGAAGATTGGTTCTCAAAGCTTTATGACATATATTACACTCTATATTATGAGGCGAATAATGCAACAAATGAATTTAAAAATTATTTATTTGCTTTTTGTGAAACAAAATTATCAGAATCAAAATTTGTTAGAAATAAGAAAAAATGTAAGACAAATTATGAATAGATAGATATATTAAATTATAACATTAACAAATAGGTATCACATTTCGAAAAATAAGTGGGATTTTTTCAATAGCATTTTTACTATATTGAATTATAAATCGGAAAAATAAATTAAGATTCTCTGATTTTAATTTTGAAACCCCTTATTACTGTATTAAGATAATTTATTACTCTGAAATGTATGTAGATTAGAAATCATCGATACACTTCCAGATTAAGAACTTTAAGATTTAGTCTTTAGTGTTCAAGATATATCTGTCTGTTAAGAATGAAAGAATACAGCTATAATATTAAGTATCTTAAGTATGTAAATGCTATGCGTCAAAATTAAACCTGTGCCAGATTAAAACCATTAGAATTCCGCTAATATTTAACATAGGCACCCACCCTAACTCTAATCAAACTCTGCATTGAAATTTTGATCTGTGCAAACTTTAATCTGATGCACAACACAAATATGTAATTAGACATATGAACGATTAATTTTGTAATTATGTCTAAGCATTTACTAAAGGAAATAACTTTTTTATCTATGAATTTAATAAATAATTAGTTACAAATGTATATAATATTTAATTACAAATGTATTAATATAACTAAAAATACAACTACAATACATTGTACTAGAGTTGTTTTAGAGTGCAAATTTATTTAAAGTAATTAATCCGATTCTAGTATTACACCATCTAAAACTAGTAGTAATAAACCGGTGGCGTTAAATAAGACTAGTAGGGGTTTCAAAAGTAAAATCAGCGAATCTTATTTTATTTTCCGATTTATAATTCAACATAGTAAAAATACTATCGAAAAGCATAGGTGCGACTGGTCAAGTGACTGGACGAATGCCGGCTAGCCAAAGGTGCCGGAAATAAATTCAATTA